ACTGTTGAACATTTTTATTCTGCAGTCTCTTAACTTTAGTATGTAGCGCTTACTCCCAAAAGAGCTACTGGATGTATTGAGTTCCTGTGCCCACAACTCTGAAAATAGCTCCATGCACACTGAAAAACTTGGCTGGGTGGGAAATATTTATTGCAAATATAGGTAAATATACCCCAAAGACTCAAGGTATATAGACACCAATAATGACACAGCAAATGGTTAAGCAATATTAAGACTTGTACTGCAATAAGGTTAAAAGTAGGAGAATATACTGACAAATGGTACAGTAGAAGAAAATTAGTAGAAGTAAATTTCTGAAACAATAATTGGTATAAAGCACAACCCCCCTAAACCATATACTGGGGCAATCTTAACTATGGGAAGTTATACCTCTATAACAGTTCAGCAGTCAATATACAGGGGTTAGACAAAAAAATGGAAACACTATTATTATTATTTATGCATTACAGGTACTTATATAGCGCCATCAATTTACGCAGTTCTTTACACACACATATATATATATATATTGTACATTCACATCGGTCCCTGACCCTCAAGGGGCATACAATCTAAGGTCCCTAGCTCACATTCATACCTACATGTACTAGGGAAAATTTAGACAGGAGCCAATTCACTTTCCAGCATGTCTTTGGAGTGTAGGCAGAAACCCGAGTACCCGGAGGAAACCCACACAGGCACAGGGAGAACATGCAAACTCCAGGCAGGTGTAAAAGTAAAGCACAGAAAGAATCTCTCTCAGTTGTATGCTATAAAAAAACAAACAAATCTGCATTGGCCCCTTATGTCAATGCCCAGATTCCTATGTCTTTGCTTGTTAGCTCTAAAAGTATTCAGAACTTGAGGGGCATGGCTTGGTTGCTGAGCAGGATGGCTGCCTAATCCTCCTTATGCACTTGCTTAGGGGACTCTGAAGCAACAGGACTCGCCATTACTCCTCCACATTGGAAGATTACTATTCTGGGGACAGAGTCATCCATGTCCCAGAAGAAAGGCTGGACTCCGGGACCATGCCACTTCACGGAGTACTTCATGAAGCCGACATGTGCACCACAAGATGGAGCAGGTAGTGGAAGCTGCTCCCCTCACAGCTCACAGGCACAGCACAGCCCTGAGATTATCTCTGACATGTAGGAATCAGCACCTTAGGCCTCAGGCACTCTACCTTCCCCAACTGACAGAGGTAAGAGAGCAGCAATTTCACCTGTAAACTGTCCCCTAACCAGCCAAAAGCTAAAAGAAAGCAACATTGGGCTGAACATGAGATGCCTCCCATGGAGGGAGATTACACTGAACCTCTGGCTGCATTTCCAGCTACAGACAACCCTCCTCTGAACATACCCTGAAAAACATGCTCCTTTCCTTACAATCAGAATGACATAAGGACACTTCTATTTCCACTCCAGGCTAGACCAAATAGAAGAACGTACTGATCAGATGGAGAGGCACATGGGGGTTTAGGCTTATAATGAAATTATTGCTGCCACTCACATCAATGCTAGGGTTTACGTTTGTGTAAATTGGCATCAATACTGGGGAATATTGTTGCATATAGTACATATATATATATAGTATACATATATTATTGCATGATACATAGTTAAAATGTGTGAGTAAACTCTGTTTCGAATTAATAAAACCTAATTTAGTTATTAATGTTTTAAATTAATTCATTTTCTTGTATTGAAACGACACTGACTCGTTTGTAGGAAATACGGGTGGGGAGATCAGAGTTTGCCATTTTTACCCTGGGCACCGAAAGACATTGTCCTGGCAGTGCAGATATTGATACTACATATACAAAAATGTATATACAAATTTATATAAATATACATTTCATGGTAGAGATTACAGTTAATATATTTTTTTCCAAACAATTTTTATTTTCCCTACCACACCTAGAATACCCAACCTATCTTGTCACACCTTAAAGTGTTTACAAACCCTAATACTAAAGTTATGTAAATTGCTTTTGTTTTGCATTGAGTAAATATATATTAAAGTGTTACTAAACCCAGGACCCTGCATTCACTATATCTGGTCTCCCACAGTACACAGAACATGGAAATGCAATTATTTTAGTAAATATAAACTGCTAAATACCTTTTTCTCATCAGCAGTTAAAGCAGTCTTGTGACTTCTATCAGTGTCCAGCAGAGCACTGGTTAAAGCTTGTAGGAGGAGTTTTATTTCAGCTCTAGGAGGATGCAGAACCCCTGACCTCTGTCAGGACAGTGCTGATTGGCCCTGTGCTGATCACATGCACTCTAAGAAGAAAAAAAAAACCTCTTTTGCAAGACACACTAAACTGAGCATGTGCAGAATGGCTACGGTTCAGTCTGTCTTATCAGGAGATAAGCTGTGGACATTTGAACAAAAGGAGGAGCAGGGAAGTCGGGATCAAACTGCCTTTTTACACAATGCAGAGGATTAACCCCTTAGGCTCCACAGTGAGTACAACAAGCATGCTTTACTGTATATACAGACTGAGTTTACTGCTGTGGGTTTAGCAACACTTTAAAATCACTGACTTAGAGAACCGCTGTAGGTAGAATTACATCAGATTCAGGGAAATTACCTGAAATGATCAATGCAGCTGAGCTAGTACCATACCTTCTTTAAATCTTAAACTAAGCTCTTAGATTAGGCTTTTCCCCAACTTCTCCCAACTTGATCTTATCATTAACAGAGTGCATAAGGTTCTTAAGCCCAAATATTTGCATACTAGACGTGCTAAACAAATACATTTGTTTCATTTAGTATAGATTCATTACCACTTACCCTCCGGAAGATTTACCCCCCTTCCTGACCAGGCCATTTTTGCTATTCAGCGCTGTGCTATTTCGACTGGTAATTGCACAGTCATGCAACGCTGTACCCAAACAAAATTTATGTCATTTTTTTCACCCAATAAAGCTTTCTTTTGGTGGTATTTGATCACCACTGTTTTTTTTTTTTTAATTTTGTGATATGAACAAAAAAAGACCAAACATTTTGAAGATATTTTCTACGTTCGGTTACAAAAAAATCCAATAAACTCAAAGTTAGTCATGAATGTAGGCCAAAATGTATTTCTGGTAGAAAAAACTCCCCATACGTGTATATTAATTGGTTTGTGTGAAAGTTATAGCATCTACAAACTATGGTATATATACTAGAATTTACTTTCTGATTGCCTATTACATTTCTTGAGATGCTAAAATGCCGGGGCAGTATAGGTACCCCCAAATGACCCCTTTTTGGAAAGTGGACACCCCAAGGTATTTGCTGAGAGGCATGTTGAGTTCATAGATGATTTTATTTTTTGCCATAAATTTTTGGAAAGCTGCAATTAATTTTTTACACAAAGTTGTGACTTAAATGACATATTGCTCAAGTATGCCTTTGCTATATGTGGAATAACACAGCAAAACACAGTCTGCTACTTCTCCCGAGTATGGGGATACCACATGTGAGAGATTTTTTTGGCAGCCTATCCACATACAGGCCCCCAAAATCCACTTTCAATTTCAGGCTTTCAAAGGGCATATTTCCTCATATCACTTCCTCACTACCTATCACAGTTTCGGAGGCCTTAAAATACCAGGATAGTACAATCCCCCCAAACGACCTCATTTGGAAAGTAGACAATCTAAGGAATTTGATAGGAGGCATGGTGAGTGTTTTGCAGATATCAGTTTTGTCACAGCGTTTTGAAAATGAAAAAAAAAGAAAAGATAAAATACATTTTTGTTTTCTTTCTTCATTTTCCAAAAACTTGAGGCAACAAATGAGATCTGCAAAATACTCACCATACCTCTTATCAAATATCTTGGAGTGTCTACTTTCCAAAAAGGGAACATTGGGGGGGGGGGGGGATGCTTCTACTATCCTGGCATTTCAGGGCCAACATTAGAAGCTTATGCTACACATCACCCATTCTTCTAACCACATGAAGAACAAGCCTTTTCTAACAATTTTTTTTTTACATCAAAAACAATTTATTTTGCTAGAAAAAAAAACATATATTTTTTTAAAGCAATGGTCCTAGAAAATACAATAACACAATATTTGCACGTTGATTTTTCAAATGCTAATTTTGAATCTTAATGTACAAAAACAAAATATATTGCCTAATTATTTGATAACATATATAAAAAATGATGTTCTGCTGAATAAATGGATACCAAACATGAAATGCTTTAAAATTGCACATTACAAATTGTTAATATCAATAGGCGACACTTTATAAACCTTTTACAGGTCACCACTTTATATTTACACAGAATGTCTAGTGCTAGGATTACTTCCCTTGATCTGATATTCACGGTCATACCTCACATGCATTCTGCAATCTCTGTTTACATACCGACACAGGATGGATGCTTGTGTTCGCCTTTGCAAACAAGCATGGAAAAGGGGGCAGGGCGGGGGTGAGTTTTAAAATTTTATTTATTTATGTATTATTTTTACACTGTCCCCTTCTTTTTTTTCCCTTTGATCACTTTTATTATTATCACAGGGAATTTAAATATCCCCTGTGATAGCAATATGACAGGTACTCTTTTCTGAGAAATAGAGGGTCTATTAGACTCTAGATCTTTCCTCTGCCCTTAACTAGTTGCCGAGCGCAGATAGCCGAATGACGGCTTCACTGCGGCCGGCCAGTTCAGGGTGGACGTCATATGACGTCCCCCCAGAACGCGCTCTCCTGCGTGCCCCAGGGGGCGCGCACCCGGTGATCTTCGTGATCGCTGTGTCCTACGGACACAGCTGATCACGTGATGTGGTAAAAGGCCGATCCCAGCGGCCTTTTACCACGTGATCAGCGGTGTCCAATGACACGCTGATCACAGGGAAATGCAAGTGCCGGTTCTCGGCTGCACTTTCCTCACGCTGTCAGATCGTGAGGAAAGTACTGCCGAGAACTGGCAGTTCTCAGAGCGGGGATCGGCACCGATCATCAGGACACTGATGATCAGTGCCCTGATGATCGGTGCCCAGCAGTGCCACCCGCAAGCTCCGCCCACCTGTGCCCAGCAGTGCGCCCACTAGCTCCGCCCACCTGTGCCCAGCACTGCACCCACCCTGTGCCCAGCAGTGCACCCACCTGTGCACCCACCTGTGCCCAGCAGTGCACCCACCTGTGCCACTCTGCAGTGCCACCTACCTGTGCCCAGAAGTGCCACCTACCTGTGCCCAGCAGTGCCACCCACCTGTGCCCACCCACCTGTGCCCACCAGTGCCACCCACCTGTGCCCACCCACCAGTGCTGCCCACCAGTGCCACCCACCAGTGCAGCCCAGCAGTGCTGCCAGTCAGTGCCACCAGTCAGTGCCCAGGGGTTGTGCCAGTCAGTGCCGCCAGTCAGTGCCCAGCAGTGATGCCAGTCAGTGCCGTCTATCAGTACCCATCATCAGTGTCACCTATCAGTGCCGCTATATCAGTGCTGCATATTAGTGCCGCCTATCCGTGACACCTCATTAGTGCTGTCTATCAGTGCCGCCTATCCGTGCCACCTCATTAGTACTGCCTATCAGTGCCCTTTAGTGCTGCCTATCAGTGCCCATCAGTGCCGCCTATCAGTGCCCATCAGTGCTGCCTCATCAACGCACATCAGTGAAGGAGAAAAAAATACCTGTTTGAAAAATTTTATAATAGAAACAAAGAAATTTTTTTTTTTTTCAAAACTTTTGGACTTTTTTTTATTTATAGCGCAAAAAGTAAAGCGCCCAGTGGCAATTAAATACCACCAAAAGAAAGCTCTATTTGTGAGAAAAAAAAGATCAAAATTTCATATGGGTACAATGTTGCATGACCGCGCAATTGTCAATCAAAGTGCGGCAGCGCTGAAAGCTGAAAATTGGCCTGGTAAGGAAGGGGGTATAAGTGCCTGGTAGGCAAGTGGTTAAAGCATCTGATCACACCAAGATCGGTGTGATCAGATGCTTTCCCAATTTAAAAATGGAGTTAATATCCGGTGAAACAGAAATTATAAAATGCTCGTAGCTTCTGTTTTCTTAGACCATAGAGATGAACTGAGCCATTCTGATCTCTGATCAGCTCTATGGTAAGCCGGTGGAACTGCCAGCTGCATTCTTAGATTCCCCTATGGGACAGGAGAGCTTAAGAAAGCCATAGAAGATAGCGTGATGGGAGGGAATGTCAATTCCTGATGCTTGTAAAAATGATCCAGCAGCTAATTAGCCACTAGGATTGCTTTTACATGAAAGCTGACTACCAGCTGAAAAAAGTGATACCAGGATGATACCTTAGCTGCAGGCATCATCCCAGTATAACCACTCAAAGTCCAACAATGTACCAGTACGTTGCTGGTCCTTGTTGGGCATATACTGTATGTAACAGCAGAGAACATGGGCATATGATGAATCCGGTCTGTGGACCAATATGAACGCAATTCATTGTTTTTGTAATGCCCATGTTTGAAGGTTAGGCCCCAAAAAGTTTTAAATTCAGAAACTGTGATAAATTTCCATGTGAATTGTCTGGTAAGAGCTGAATTTTGGTGAGAGGTGATGTATTGTTGTGCGTATAAATTGCTTTGGCCCATAATCAATTGGTACAAATCTTCCATGGAAAACAGCGGAGCGGCTAAACGCTAGTGCTGGCAGTGAATGGGGCTGATCCTGCTAAGACTGCATTTTTGGGGACACTATAGAAAGGAGGCACTAGTATAGTTCTGGTCATGATCAATATATTGATCTGTACAAACACTATACTAGTAATGGGGGTGATCAGCGACCTATAGCGTAAGTGTAATAGTGTGTGGGCAATCTAATGCTAGCTAAACCCTGACTTGGATGGGAGCTTACAGACCCTGATGTTATCTGATGTCGCTAGTGGCAGGAATACAGTGATCAGTGAAAAATTCTATATACTTGCACTGTACTAATGGCACTGGCTGGGTGATGGGGCGATCAAAGGGTTAATAGGGGCGATCAAAAGCTTAAATGTGCTAATCTAATGTGTGCATGTAAAATGTAGTGATTTTACTCACAGTGCGGTAATCTCTCTTTTCTCTCTGGACCGACTGGGGGCAGGGGGGAACACAGGCACGTTCATAATCCGAAATAGAAAGCAACATGAGGTTACATCGCTTTGCCCAGAGCCGCTGCCCGCTCGCACAATGTGGGCAAGTAGTTAAAAAAAACCCTTAAAAATTTCCATGTATAATGTGAGAGCTGTGGGCCAATCAGAGCTCACTAGGAAGAGTACCAGAGCATGATCACTGGGTCCCAGGGGCAGACTGACAACTCATGGGCCCCCGGGCAATAGGGGATCATGGGGCCCCTGTGTCCATGCCCAAACTCAAAAAAGCCTATGAAAAAGGTACCCAGGGCATCCAAATGGCCAGTCCGCCCCTGCTGGGTCCTGTTTACCGGGATCTTCGTTCTGTTGTTTTCGGTGGACACAGCGGTCGTGGGTGGGGAGTGATGTGTGCTTCCTCGGGTGCTCAGCTCCCCCCTGTGTTAGTACAGCCAGATCGATGTACCTGTACGTTGCTTTGCCTGTAGCTGCCGCCTGTCCGCAGTACATTACTGGCAGGCGGGCAGCATCTATTAAGTTACTTATTTTGTTTCATTGCATTCGTAACAAAAGTCGTTTAGTTTTATTTCCTTTATTCGTTTTCGACCGGATTCAATTTTTTTTAATGGATTAAAAATACTTGAATCAAATTCGAAATTAAAATATTTAATTCAAACTCAGTGTGAAGATTAATTAGTTTTATTCTATTTGAAAGTCAAATTTCAGAAGACGGCTATATTCTTTCTATTTTATGCTATTTTATTTTTTCTTCTCTATTCTATTCTTTTTTATTCTATGTTTTCTGTTCTGTTCTAATCTAATTTACTCTGTACTATTCTATTCTATTCCTTTCTATTCTATGCTATTCTTTTGTATTCTATTCTTTTCTACTGTATTCTATTCCTTTATTTTCTGTTCTATTTTTTTTTATTCTATTCTTTTTTAATATGAATTTCAGAAGATGGCAATATTCTTTCAATTCTAATATATTATATTTATTTTCTATTCTATTCTTTTATTTGCTATTCTGTTCTTTGCTATTCTGTTCATTATTTTCTATTGTATTCTTATATTTTCTCTTCTATTATATTCTGTTCTATTCTTGTTAATTTTTTCTATTCTATTCAAAACTCAAATTTCAAAGTTGGGAATACAGTTATATTCTTTCTATTTTATTCTATTCTTTTCTATTCTATTCCTTTATTTCTATTTTATTCTTTTATTTTCTATGCAATTCTATTCTTTATTTTTCTATTCTATTCTATGTTATTCTATTCTTTTTTGAAATTCAAATTCGGAAGATGGCTGTTCGATTGTAGTCTATTCTATTCTATTGTAGTCTATTCTATTCTGTTTATTTTCAATTCTATTCTATTCCTTTATTTTCTACTCTGTTCTATTCTTTTATGTTCTGTTATTTTCTATTCTGTTTTATTCTATTTATTTCAAAATTCGAATTTCGGAAGACAGCTATATTCTAATACACACAGCTATATTCTAATACAGTCTTTGAAGGAAATCAGCAATTGTCAACAATGTGTTTACATTTCAAATTTGTTTTCAAATTTGATTTTGTTTTTGAATTGAAATTTTATTTCATTATTTTTGGATTTGTTTAAATTCATTACTATGGTCATTTGGAAATTTGGATACATCTGAATCTCCAAACAAAAAGTTTGTCTGAACAAACCACACATGTCTACTGCCTGCTACCATCCCAAGAGACATATTGGAACACATACACTTCTTTCATGTTAAAGCAGAGCTCCACCCAAAAGGGGAAGTTCCGCTATAAGGACTGCTCTCTCCTGCTCCCCATTAAGGATTGGCACCTTTGGGGAGCGGCGGGGGGAGCAGGGGTGGGGAAAAGGTACCTAAATTTGACAGGTACCCGCTCCCACTTCCAGTCCGATCACCTAGGCAGCCTCCCTCCTTGTAGTCTTTTGGGACACATGACAGGTCCCAGAAGACTACAGGACCATTCACGAAGCACAGCGCTACTCAGCATGCGCAGTTGAAGCCGCAAGCTATCACAGCCGGGTGCCCACACTGAAGATGCCGGCCTCCTGGAATACAGGATGGCCGGAGAAACGATCTGCGGGGACACACCATGGGACCGAGAGGGACAGGTAAATGGCTGTTTTTTAAAAGTCAGCAGCTACAGTTTTTGTAGCTGCTGACTTTTATATTTTGATAGGTTGAGTGGAACTCCGCTTTAAGGAGAGATCTGTGGCCAGACCTTTGCACAAGTTTCCTGATCCATATGCTAATATTTTCCTCTACACTCATATTTCTGCAGCAAAGAATTTGCCTCAATCACCGTCAGTCCAGGAAACCAAAATCCCTTACCAATGTGGATTCCCAACAAAGATTCTAGTAACCAACCAAAACCAAGTCATATCCATCCATATAAACTTCTTCACAACTGAGGCCTTATTACCAACCCTCCCCCTACAAATGCAAAGCATAAACCACCTCAATTGTGGATCCCTGGAACACAATGGGCAACACATAACTCTGCTAAGGCTTCCCAAAGTCATAATGGACACTATATACTTAGGTAGGTCTTTTTCATTGTTTACTTTACTTCTGGTACCAATTGAACTTTATTGGCACATCAAAGTAACATACTGTATACATAGGTGTAACAAAACTAAACATTAGTGCGTACAGGGGCAGACTGACCATTTGGAAACTCGGGCACTGCTCGAGGGCCACGGGTCAGTAGGGGGCCCCATGAGATGCCTCTGGTACCTTTTTCATATAGGTTTTTTGAGTTTGGGCAAGGACATAGGGGCCCCATTATCCCCTATTGCCCGGGGGCCCCATGAGTTGTCAGTCCACCCCTGGTGCGTACATTATAGTTTTGAGAAAGAGAAAACATTACCTCACACAGGGGTCACAGACGAAAGTAACTTAAAAGACTAAAAGGGTTGTCATTGTGGTTCACTACTACAATGATAAGGTTACCTATACCATATCTTACATCTAAGGTTGCATGGTATGCAACTCGCACACTGGTTCGGCAAACACACCTGGTGTTTTGATCAGAAAAAAAATGACAACAAAAAAGAAGATTGTTTTAAAACAAGTAAGTTGGGTGTTTGACCGTAAACATCAGACCTGGGTATGTGTGTCGGTGGTAGTGGGCAACCTCTGAGGCCAAAACTCAAAAAAAGGCAAGAGAAAGGGTCCTCTCGTGAGTTATTAGAAAAAGGAGCAAGAAGTCACAGAAAGGAATACCAACACAAAGCAAAGTAAGATGAGGGGAGGGTAGAAGAAAGGGAATTTTTTCTCACCGTGGGGGATCTTGGAAGTAGGTCCGCTTCAGAGTGAACTGTGTGGGAAGATGACAGAAATGCTAGTCACAAATGAACTAGGCTGGGTGTAAATCTGCTTGGTAATCAAGCCAAGGCTGCCAAATCATCAGAAACCGATCATGTTTGTCTCCAATGCCGACGTCTACTTTTTATTAATGAAGATACCCTGTTTTCTAGATTTCACGTCCTCAAAAGAGAGCGCTGGAGATTTCCAGGAACACGCTATTTCTCTGGTTGCCATAAAGAAGAACTCAATCAATATCCTAGATCTACAGTCTGAGAAGAAGAGCTTTTCTTGGATTTTTCCGTAAGTTGACATGAGTGACCAAATGGATCAGGTTATATACCTTAGTCTACAAGTGGTAAGCTGTTGGGCAGGACCAACAAATATGGAACATATTTCCTATATGTGCACACCCCCTGAAGCAAGACGGGGTATGTACAGGGGCGAACTGACCATTTGGAAACTTGGGCACTGTCCGAGGGCCCGGGGTTTAGTAGGGGGCCCCATGAGATGCCCCTGGTACCTTTTTCATAGGCTTTTTTGAGTTTGGGCAAGGACACAGGGGCCCCATGATCCCCTATTGCCCGGGGGCCCCATGAGTTGTCAGTCCGCCCCTGGGTATGTACATACTTGGCTATGCAAGTAAAATAACACCAGGTGAGAACCTTGTATGAATTTTCTAATGCCTGGATGTTCCGGGAGCATTTTGATGTGGCTTTGCCAGATTGGTATCCAGTCCTCCAATAATAGACTTTCCTTAAGGTCTTGAGACCATTGTACACAGTAAGAAGGCAGTTCCGCCATCTGATGGTCTTAAAATAGATCCATAAATTTGGGACAGGTTGTCTTAGATTTGGTTTATTTTCAACTCCCTATGAGCATAGTTACTGTTTTTTAAACGTGTTTAAACGTGACCAAATCCACAACACGTGAGATCGCTCCTTTTACAACCACCAAAGTGCCAAACCAGAGCAACGTGTATGATCCCTTCCCCTTTAGTCATGCACCTTTATCTCACTTCATCATATTTATCTATTCTATTTATTTTATTCACCATTTTGAATAAACATCTCAATCCATATGCTGAAATGACATGGAGGGAACACGGTATTAGTAATAATCAAGCTGCAATGCTCGTGTATTTAATTCTGAACACATTACATTTTTTAACCACTAGATGATGGTCATCCACATTCCCCCATCTAAATATAGGCAGATAATGGTTTGTCCTTATGGATCAATAATGTTACATTGAGTCATCCAATTTATTCTATTTGGCCATCGGATGTTTAATACATGTTTAGGCTCATGAGGTTAGAGAGTACAGACTGATAGGCTGTGATCGCATGTGGATGCTTTTTCAGCCATTAAGATGGAGTCCTTGGCCGCAGGTTATGGGCAGGAGCTGTATAAAGGGAGCTCCGGTGGCATCTAACGCCTATTGTCTATGAGGAAGTTGCTCTTATGACGAAATGCATCAGGTGGATGTGACATCAGATGCAACTGGAAGCGCCACAGCGGCCATTTTGATTATTGGAAAACAAGCTGTTTTTACCCATGACATATGAAAGCACATTTTTGTTAGTATTAAAGTGGATTTTATGCATATTACACTATGGAAGTATTTTAATTCACGTGGCTACTGAGAACTTGTGAAGGAGTGAGGAGGCAATTGGTCATGATCAGGGGTGGACTGACAACTCATGGGGCCCCCCGGGCAATAGGGGATCATAGGGCCCCTGTGTCCTTGCCCAAACTCAAAAAAGCCTATGAAAAAGGTACCAGGGGCATCTTATGGGGCCCCCTACTGACCCCCGGGTCCTTGGGCAGTTTCCAAATGGTCAGTCCGCCCCTGGTCATGATAACATTTGGATTGCAAAAAAAGCTATTTTACAATAGGGTAAGGTGCATGACTGAAGGGGAAGGGATCACACACGTTGCTCTGGTTTGGCACATTGGTGGTTGTAAAAGGAGCGATCTCCCGTGTTGTGGATTTGGTCACGTTTAAAGTGAAATGCGCAATTTTCACCTGCAGAGGGTAAGAGTATTTAGGGGAAAAGGGGCACATGTATTTGTGTCTTGCACATAGTGGTTTGAATAGCGTTTGAGCATAAACATACTACACTATATTCGTTTTTTTCTTTGGAGTTTCATATTAGCACAGTGGAAGATCACAGAATTGCACAGTATATATCAAAACGGGGTGAAAGAGAATCTTGATGGGTAATTGGGAAGATTGGAATATGAAGAGGAGTGCTTCTGTTTGCATAATAAGGACTTTCTTACACAGGCAGGTATTGGACTGAGAGCTGCCCTTTCGTTTTGCATTTAATCTGGTGCTTTATATTATTATTATTATTTTATGTTTGTATTACTGTTATTATTTGTATTGTTTCTCTTAGTTGCTACCACACTCAATTTTTGGCTGTTTTTTCATAAAGGTATATTTGGCGGCAATGCAGTATCAGCTGTAATCCCTCTCCAACTTCTTTTGCAATAGCTGTTACAACTACCTCATCAAGAGGCTTAACAGCCCTTATAAAAGAGCAACATTGTGGAAAGAAGTACTACTTCAAAACATGAACATCCTATGCATTCAGGGAATACATTTTACCAACTGTAGACCCCCCCCAATGCCAGCACAAACTTTTTTCACATCTATTTTGTGGTCATGTAGACAAGAAAGAGAGATGTTATGAGAACAATACGCAGCACAACAGCATTTTAATTTACACCATGCAGAGGATGATCCCCAAGGTATATTTCTTCTATTTTCAGCCTCTTTCAATGACCACTCATGACGTGTTGCTAATATACAGTATATGCACCAAACACACATCAAAAATCTTTTTATAAGCTCATAATGAGCAAATTATGTCCCTACAAAAAAAGGGCAAATAATTTAATGATACCATTGATCAAATACTAGACACCTCAAACACCCTCAGTAAATGATCCACTACAGTCTCCTCTCTGATTCAGTTGGAGGACCTGTATGATCCTTGGTGGGGTTTTAATGATACAGAGAGGGAGTACACATTTTACTTGCACTCACAAAAGTCCTACTCACGGTTTGGCCTGTTCCTGACCAACAATCTATCTCATCCTCCAATATTGGCCTTATCACATGGTCTTGCCACACTAGTCTCCATTACACTCTTCTCAACTCCTTGTGAAAAATTCCACACTCTGTGGCAACTGAATGCTTTGTATCTTACCCATCCTCAGTATTGGGAACAGATCAAGTCTGAAATAAGACTAAGGGTAGTTTCTAAAGTACTTCGGCCTTCCCTAAACTCCCCCAAGGTGCCTCTACCCCCTCCCTCCAGATTTCTAAAGATACTGTTTGATGTTATGGAATCTATTGTCTACAACCCTTTCTATATAATACTCGACTGCTTTTAATGTCTTATAGACTTAATTCAGATTTCTTTATCAAACAACTTTGCCTAAATTGTTATGTTCATGGCAATAAACCAGGAGCTGCATTAACTAATCAGCATAAACATAAAATTTCCGGGACTAGAATATTTTATCTTAAAGACCCACAGGGCAAGTGGCTAAGTAATCCCAAAGATATTGCCAACTGTTTTAGCAACTTTTATTTCCAGCTATGCAACTTGTCTATCTCCCTTGACTCTAATTAATCCTTCCCCTAATTCACTACTATACAAAAAGTTTGAGCATCTGTTCCACTTCTGTCCATGACACTTGACTGAATCATTGAGCCTTCTCAACTGTTCTCTGAAGCCAAGGTTATGAAAGTTGTAGCTACCCTCCACTTACCTAAGGAACCAGGACCTTACAGTTACTGTAACAAATATTATAAAACCTATTCTGATCTCCTTGCTCCACATCTTGCAACAACCTGAGAAAGTCCTACAGAGTCCTCGGGAGGCCCTTATAATTACCATCCCAAAGCCTGGTAAATTGCCTGGGGACCCTACTAACTATATGCCTAGTTCTCTATTGAACTCTATTGGGGATATCAAACTTTCTGCACAACTCTTGACAAATAGGCTTTCTAAGTATACACCCAACTTGGTCCACTCTGAGTAGGTAGGCTTTGTGGCAGATAGTACAGCATCGGATGGCACCAGTGCTTTATTGAGCTTATACTGTGAACACCATAGAATTTCATCTCTGCTTCTTTCTTTATATTCAGAGAAGGCATTCAGTAGAGTGCACTGGAAATACTTGAAGGCAGTCCTCGTTAAATTTGGTTTCTCGGGCACTATTCAATCAGTTGTCTTAGGTTGATATTCTGCCCATAGTGTGGACCTCAGGGTTAGTGTTTGACCCATTCACCATTACCAATGGTGAATGGGTCAGACACTGAGTCAGATGCCATTGAACTCTTCACAGAGTCTATTTGCTCAAACCCTCACATTTCAGGTGTGATCATCAATAACGTAAACCATAAAATTGGCCATTATGCTGACAACGTCATAATTTCTATATTAAACCCACTCCAATCCCTACCCGTTCTCCCTCGACTATGTAACTCCATCCTCTATGCTCTCTTGTCTTATGTAGGAATGGATGTCTCTAATATACAGTACATGTCTACTATAAAGCTAGATCGAACTAAGCAATGGTGGTCTGCCTCTTACCATCCATTCTGGCTATAAAATTAAATGTGCAGCTATAGAATATGATCCTAAGTTACTCCTAAGCATTCTCTGGCTTCATTTGAGACCTCCGCATTCCTTTCTTGATACAGTTAATGCTACCCTAAGGACATGGAAATCTATATTACAAATAAGTAATGAGATACCGAAGCATCTTTTGCCATCTCTACCACTGGCCTCATTAGAACGCAAGAGTTCTTTTTCAACTGACTTGCAGCTGGCCTTCAATACATTGAAAAACTTTATGCTGGACCCCACCTTCACTCATTTTAAACTTTCAGGGTGAAATTCCCCATTACAAGTATCTTGGTAATCAGTATGCACTCTCCCCCATTATTTGGACTGAGAACATGACTTCCTGGGAGCTAATAAAGTTTTATGAACACTGTAAACCTCCACAGAAAGGAATTTCATTCATTTATAAGCTTCTCCTAAGGTTTACTTCTCTCCATAAAATACCTTCATTGGACTTTTGCGAAAATGCTCTTCATTTCACACTCACCCCTTCCCAATGGCATCAAGCACTTCACAAACCTTTCAAATTCTCCGAGTTCATTATCCACTGGGAATTAGCGCAGAAAATCTTTCACAGATGGCATTGTGCTCTCACTAGAATAGTAACTATTTGTCTGTCTCTCTCACCCAACTGTTGGAGAGGCTGCAGAGTAGATGGGACTTTACTCCATATTTGTTCTAGTCTTGCCAAGTGTGCAAAGTGTTCTAGTCTTGCCAAGTTTTGATATCAACATGTTCATATGCTCTGTTATAAATGCCTCTTTTACCTTTAGTCCACAGCTGTCCCTACCTTTTATAACTCACGCTGTCATAGCAGTCCGGCTTTCGCTTGTTAGGAACCGGGAAACCAAAACAGCTTAGAGCCTTCCACAAATACTCAAAATTCTAAACTACCATCTACTAGTTGAATCATCAATGCTCATTTATCACTCGCTAAATTTCAAACCTGCT